CAAAATATATATTGTGTGTTTGAGTGGTCCAGACGCTACAATAAATAAATAAATTTAAAAAAAACGATTTTGTAGCTGATGTAAATACCATCCCAATGAATCAATTTCAACATTTTATTTTAAGGACATTCTTGTTTAATTTTGTACAATAAACAATTCAGGTAATGATCTGAGTGGCCACTTGTAAAATCTGGGTCTTGAAGGAAAAGCACTGATCTACAGAACGTAAGTGACATGAGCTGCTGCTGCTATCCAAAGAAACTAGCAGAGACAGTCAAGCTGTATTGAAATCGTCACCTTGGAATTATAAGGTTCTATCTGCCATTTTTGTCAAAATTTAGTTATTCACATATTCTTATTCTGTGACAACTTATTTACATTATGTGATTTTTTGTTTTTTAAGTTGTGTACTGTGACGAGTGGAGGCGGGGCCGAGAGCCGTGGGAACGGAGCGAGGCCGGTGGAGTAATTGATAATGAGCGACACCTGCACCACTCACCGGTCTCGAGTCCCACGGAGGAGCTCCGGAAGGATTAAAGGAGGAGCTACGACAGTGAAAGATGAGACAGGACCAGGCCTGGACTTTATTTTGTGTTTTGTGTGCGGCAGTCATCCGCGAGGGGCTGCCGCTTTACTTTCATTTTGTGTTTGTTTATTTTATTAAAGTGTTGTTTAAATGTTCGCCGGTTCCCGCCTCCTTCTTCCCGGCCTACGAACGTTGTTACATGTACATTTTGGGACTGATGTATGAAAGAAACTTGTTCCCCATTTCCCAGATCTCTATATGGAATGCAAAAACTTTGAAGCTCAATATCCCGAAACTGCTCAGAACGCAGATAGAACCTTCTCATTCCAAGGTGACGAAATGCCTTGCTTAGGGGCGCAATGGTGAGAGTTTAAGAGTTTTAAATGAGTTCTATTATGACAAAAACACAAAGTTCACATTAACACAGTCGGTTATGTCTGTGAACGTAAACAGCTGCATATGTATAAGTATATTAGATCTGTGAAACAACGTCACTTGGGCATGGTGACAACACACTACTAACGCAACTTAACCAGGCCTCTCGCCTTCATATTTTTTTGCTTAGACCTTGGGCAGGGTTTATTTTAAATGTGAGATATTACAACATGCACATTCGCTTTTTTAGGGAGTTCAGAAACAGTGCTTACTGATATAGAGAATAACTCCCATTGAAGTGGGCTTTGTGCATTGTAACTTTGCAGATCTTTCGTAACTTGGCTTACCATGCATCACCTCAGGATATTAATTGTTTGACATGTATGTGTATTGTATGTATATTTACATATGTAATTTGTTTTATTTTATTTATTATTATTTTATTTTATTATTATTGTTTCATGTTAAATGTTAAATGTTTCTAAAAAATCAATAAAGACAGTGTTGAAAAAAAAAACTTTGCAGATCTTTTTTTTTTCATGCACAAACAGCAACATTTCACATACTAAAGGAAGTTGAAAATATAAAAAAGCATAATAGGACCCATTTAATTACTACGTCAACCACATAGAGGATGGAAAACATTTCATCACACCATGTGTGGGTGTGTGTGAAGTCAGCAAGTGAAATAAGTTATAAATGTGGTGATCTGTAAGAAGTTTTTCCTAACACAGCGCATTATCTATTAGTGTGTCTGTGTCATGCTGAACCATAGCAGCTCCAGTTTAAACTCCACCAGCTGGACTACAGCTAACCTGGTCAGCGGTGGTCTGATGGGTCTCTGCTTCTTGGTTGGAGTCCCTGGTAATATTGCAGTAATTGTTTTCATAGTTTGCCATTTCAAAAAGGACAATTTCACCGTTCATCTGATGCTGAATCTGGCAGCTGCGGACATCTTGTGTTTGATAACCCTGCCTGTGTGGATCTACAACCAACTCTACAGCTGGAGTATCGGTCAGTCGTCCTGCAAGTTTTTCACAGCACTCGTCTACTGCAGCGCATACTCAAGTCTGATAGCAGTAACTATGCTGAGTGTGTATCGTTGTTTACAAATTCGGCACCCAACGTTGTGGACCAGGATGAGCAAGAGAAGAGAGAGAGCACTGCTGATCAGTGGCTGGGCTCTGGCGCTGCTTTTCTCTTGTCCTGGTGTACTTACACAAGAGATTGTTCAAGGTGAATCCAAGAAATCATGTGGCAGGATCTTGTATTCAGAGGAGTACAGGCTTACTGTTGCCATACTGGAGATGCTGCTGGCTTTTTTTCTTCCTTTCACAATCATATTGACTTCATATTGTTGCCTACATAAGAAGGTGACACAGGGAGCATTCAGCCACAGGCAAAGATTGACCAAACTGGTGACCCGGATTGTGGTAACTTTCTTCATTTTTTATGCGCCACACCACATTATTAATTTGTTTCAAATTTTTGAAATACTTCTCAAATCATCATTACCAGTTTTTTCAGCTAAACTCCATGAGATTAGAAATTCCACAGGTGACATTGCGGGAAGTCTTACATTCATTAACAGCTGTGTGAACCCCTTCCTCTATGCCATGGCTTCAAAGACTTTACGTCAACAAACATGACCAGCTTCTCAGTACAACTGAAGGAGACATTCTCGTCTGTGAACACAGCAGACACTTTTACCCCTTGCAAACTGTAATGGAAATATTAAGCAAACAATCTGGAGTCTGGGTGAAAAGCTGCAGTTATATTTGGCTGACAGTTTGATCCAAAACTACTTTACATTTTATTACATTTTATCAGTACATTCCCTGGGAATCATACCCATTACTTTGGTGTTGCTAGCGCCATGTTCTACTGTTTGAGGTACAGGAAGTTAAAAGGTGAAGTTGGGCAATTATTGAAACAACTGTTAAATATTTTTACTGTTTTTAGTTCATTTAAAAATGTATTATTTCAAAATAATTTATTAACTTACTATAATTGCACAATAATAATCTTTAAAGGGGTCATATGATGCTGCTAAAAAGAACAGTATTTTGTGTATTTGGTGTAATGAAATGTGTATCTTTATAGTACAAAGAAAGCAATGTCTCAATGTCTCACCCTCATGTTGTTCCAAACCTATATGCCGTTCCTTCTTTTGTGGAACAGAAAAGATATTCTGAAGAACACTGACGTCCGAACAACATATAGACCTTTTTTTGTGTGTGTGTTGTGCTGTGAGTAATTTATATAACTGTGACTGTGTTTGATGTGTCTGATTATATAAACAAAATCAACTAAAATTAATACAAATCAGAACAAAAAAAGGTTTACTATCCCACAGTAGATATTTCCATTTATTACTTTAAAATATACCATGGTTATATACCACATAGTTAATTTGGATTAGTTATATCATAGAAGACCTTGTTTTTAAATGTGTTTTTATATTTCTCATTTGACTAAAGCTACAAGAAAATACAAAATCATGGTTGTTTTATATCTTTTTTCAATGTGAATTCTGATACTGATCCTATGAGGAAGGCAGCAGCAGCTCGCTCTTGCTATAGCAACCTTCTCAGGTGAATGCAACTCATTTGAAATAATCTATTTGGTGTCAGGCAACAATTTGCACTGTTGTTGTTAAACAGTATAAGCCAAACTTTTCAAATAAATGCGGAACCTTTAATTTATAACCTCTTGAACAATCAAACTGAATATGATAGTATAGAACTGCAATAAGCACACAACAATGTGATACAGAATTCTAATTATTATATAGCCTACCTCCATAATAAAGTAGTTTAGATGTTCTTCTTCCTCTAATAGTCACTTTTAAGTCATTTGCAATGGCTGATGCTGCAATGATCTTGGACTTCATATTTGGCACCTACAAACAGAGATGGGCACAAATACATCAAGAAGTATTTTGTTACAAATTACAAATACTTGTTCATGAAATGTATTTAATTAAAATAAAAAATACTGGTGTGAGAAATGTATTTAATTAAAATACAAATAATTTGTATTTTGAAAATACAAAAATACATATAATATTAACAAGCAATCATTTGAAGTGCTAGAGACAGTGCCATTAGAGTAAGATACAACACATTTAGTAATAGTGGAGTTAGATACACACATAAGAGAAAGAAAAGCACTTTTCCCTTCTTGAACAACTTATAAGCAACATATTCTTTAATCCCAACACTAGACACTAAAATATTATTGAGCATTAGCCAGGATGGAGTCTATTTACATCAGCTTAATAATTTATTCTTCATATTGTAAAACTTTAAATTTAAGAAGACACACAAAACTGACCTTCCAAAGACAGAAAACTTAGTAATGAAAAACGCTATCTTTATCCTCAAGAGGTGGGCAGTATGACCAAAAATTCGATTTCATATAACGATGTATATCACAATATAGTTATTTTCAATTTATTTGATCTGTATTAGTAAAACTAAGCTGCAAGTAAGATGCAAATAACAAACAATAGGACTAATACAATTTAGGAAAGATATAAATAAAATAAAGATTATTATAAAGATCCTTTATGTCATCCATGTACAGTAGCCTAACAATAGCATTTTAGTAAGAAATAACAAAAAATGTAATAATAAAAAACGTAATCAAATGTAAAATAAATAATAAAAATAATCAAATGTAAAATAAAACTGCATAGTCTTTACTCTATGAATTAAATCTAGATTGACACTGTTATACTTAAGTAATTCAGTCAAAAGCAGAGTTATTTTCTCGGTCTTATTGTCTGATTACAATTAAGGATATAGACAGCAGCAGGTATGTTAGGCTGCTGTCACTTTAAGATTCATACATGGATCCAATTTATCGATCCATATTTCTTCTCATTTCTTATGTTCACTTAAGACACAACCGAATGTGTTTATGTGTTTATGTGAATACCATCAAGCATGTCTACGCTTTATTTTTTCATTCATGTTTCTTTATCGCTCCAATGCGTAAAAAATTTGGCAGTCCTGTGGAACAATATTGTCATACTACCTAGTCCTACTCAAGAGGATGGCTCAAGTGATTTCACTGTCAACAATGAAGATTAACTTTTAAAAATGCTGATATTTAGCTGTTAAAGGGGCTCTATGTAGAATTCAGAAACTCTTGTTATTAGCGACACCGGTGGCCATTAAGTGAACTGCAGTAAGCAACTTACTGCTCGTGCACACACTCCATAGTTATGCGAGCGAGTGATGGCTAAAACAATCAGTGTTGCCAACTTAGCGACTTTGTCAGACCCCTTTAGCAACTTTTTTTTTTTCAAAAAAGCTCCCAGCGACAAATCTAGCGACTTCTTGGACAAACCTTATTTAGTTTCTGAGACTTGCCGGTGTCCTGCCGCACGAGCACGAGGTCTTGCTGTCCCAGCGCGCACACCTCTCTGTTTCTGCTCTGTTCAGCGAGCGGCTGAGAGGAGTGGCGATTTCAGTTAAAGGGGTCATATGATGCGATTTCAATTTTTCCTTTCTCTTTGGAGTGTTACAAGCTCTTGATGCATAAAGAAGATCTGTAAAGTTGCAAAGACTAAAGTCTCAAATCCAAAGTAGATATTCTGTTGCTTCTAACTCTATTTTATGTGCAAATATAGCCGAAATCACAGCAAAGCCATTGTATTGTCTTTATCTTATGTGTATTTCATTTCATTAGACAATGTTGTGATTATGAATCAGGATTTTTGTGCAGATTAACATCTAAGGGAGACCTGGGCTGCGTTTCAGTCACTATTTCATATTCATCCCGTTGTCTGCAGAAACAGAAAAAAATATATCAGTGAAAATTTTTTTGAGAATTTGGTGAGCACAGAGGCAAACAAATGTAAAACGGCATACATATGACGCAATGACTTTGTGAATATGCTAATTAGTGTATGACATCATCTAGTGACATTTAGCTTCAAGCATGCTTTAGCTATTTTAAGAAAGAAAGAACTTTGAAATAAGTTGGCAACCCTGAAAACAATGAGTGAATGAGATTCACCAAATTCATGTTGACAGATGAGGTTCATTAAATTTACACCGTTATGATCGTTTCCTTTGGGTTAACCGCCCTGAGTCCTTCACATGAAAATCAGTCAACAGGCTTCATCTAATTTTTTAAGTTTCGTTACATGCTGTTCACGCATTGGCAATAAAAAAGCAATTAATGCTTGAAAATGCTTTCATATAGCCCCTTTAAAATGTTCATTTTGTCCATCGAAACAAGAAGCTAATTTAAGCTAACATTTAGAGCAGCAGAGCTATTTACAAATTGCTCTTTTCTTCTGTCCTGTAATGACATTCAGTGAGCAATATCCGATAGTATATATTTTAGTACATACTTAGCCAGTTTGCACTGAACACCAAAACAGCTTCTTTCATTGTAATTTTTTTTTTCCAGTTGGCGGTTGTCTGTCGTCCTCTATTTAAACTGCATGTCACGTGTCATGTTCGGTTACGACAAGAAACTCTCTGCAAGATGATTCAGTATTCCTACTATTATACTTGATCTGTAAATAAAGATCAATGGTTTTGCATAAAATGACTTTATCTTGTTGGAGTTTAGTGTTGTTTCTAAATCATGTTACTTTATACCGGGCGTCTGTTAGATCACAACAATGGAGTAGAGAGCACTATGAATTGTTCTTCTAACTGAAACACTAACTGAAAATTTAAACCTGTTCAAAGAAAAGGCTCAATAAACTGTTGCACAGATATAATACATGACACATCTGTATCTTCTCTTCCCTTTGTGCTTTGAACTTTTCTACGCGGAGCGCTGCACACTGTGACTCCATGTTGCTTCAAGCACATCATTCTGCCCTCAGGATGCGCATAAAGCGCTTTGTGCCCTGTTTTTATACAATCTATGTTTGTGCCGCTCTGTATTGGAGCCTCATGAAAAACAAGTAAATATATTTATGTATCAATTTTTACAATCAAATTAAGAGATTTCTTTTAAATGTATAGCACAGTAATGAGGCAGCAACATATGATAGGACAGAACAAGAAAGGCTGTTAATAATCTTTCATTGTGCAAAGTATTACAACAATACAAAGAGCAATGTGTAACATTTTACCAGATTTAGTCCTACGTATGCTAATTCACCTTTATTTGTTCGCCACTAAATAACGTTTTTTCACTAAATGTTTATATTTTATAAAATGATTGTGCACTCATGATTTTTCTAGAGTAACTTTTGCTGCTGAATTATCCACTAACCTAGTTTATAACAGTATTTTTGTCATAGATCACGGCTGGGCAACTTCGGTCCTGGAGGGCCACTGCAGAGTTTAGCTTCAACCCTAATCAAACACGCCTGCCTGTAGCTTTAGTTATCTCTTTGGAGCTAAACTCTAGAGTGGCCCTCCAGGTCCGAAGTTACCCATCCCTGTCATAGATTATGATTATATATTTTTTTTCATTTGTTATTTTTCTTTAAAATTAAGTTGTCTATATTTGGTAGATTGTGTTTAACACAAAAAAGAGTGATAATCAGGTCAACACACAGAGGTATAGAAATTCTACATTGATTTAAAAAAAACTGTGCTGGTATCGGATCGGTATCAGTATCGGCCGATATTCAGAGAATTTTTGGTATTGGATTGGATCTGCTCTGAAA